ATTTGCTAGCACCCCGGTCCTTACCTCCAATACCAGGCATCTGGCGAGCGCGACCGCGCAATTCTTCTTTGCTGTGAGTTTATATTTGAAATCTTTTAAGTACTTTTCGGTCACCTTTTCTTCTAACTTTGTGCAGCATGCAGACTCAGTTCGATTTAAACCAGATGATGCTTCACAACGACCGCCTCCATAACAACCTGGACGATCGTAATACGAAGATCCTTCAACATGGAGATCAACTGAAAGAGGGTCGTGAGTGGTTAAGATAGAGCTGAGGGAGGATATCTTAAAAAAACGGGAGGTCGCATTCATGGAAAAAGATGTTGAGCTAGTCACCGTCAAGGAGGCACTGAAGAAGGTAAAGGAGAATGTTGAGCTGTTACAAAAGGAAGTGCACAGAGGGTCTCTGCGGTAGAAGGGACTGAACAAATAGGTGGCTGAGGTGAGAAGGGAGCTGGCGGAGTTAGAAGATACTCGCGATGCTGGCCTTTACAACAAGGATGAGGCAACGAAGGGGAATTCTGGAATTCTGAAGATGTTCAATGCTGTTGTTAAAGCAAAGTACAACCAGGTACTGAGGGATACTGTTGGGTCTATTCATCATTGTTTTCGGTGCGAGTGCCCTGAGGTGGCCTGGGATTCTCATGAAATATGGGACGTTGTAGAGTATTGGGGCGATGATGACGTGAATTCGAGCATGTTGAGACTCTGACTGAAGCCTCCCAAAGAGCTAGTACTCAGGCTGGGACCGTCGACGGAAGAAGTGAACCAGCAAACGTCAGTCGAGCTTCCATTGCCCACCAACGCCCTAGTGACTTCGAACTTTCTTTTCTATAAGGAGATAACCAATGGGTCCTTTCCTCGGGTGCCAGCTCGGAAGGTGTAAAACTTATCTCAACCTACTCATTTTTGTGAACGCTTAGGCACTATACTAGGTGGTCTCCTTCTATTCGAGGCCGCTTGCACCCTCCCTCTATTGTTAGGACTTCCACATCATCTTTGTTTACACGAGGCTGTCGTTGCAGAGGAGTGCTCCTCAGGGGTGGTGGTAGGCGCTCTCGTCGGGTTGACCGCTCTCGCCTTGGCGATCTTGATCTCTTACATCTGGGCGTACGAGATTTTCTTCTCAGGCTTGGTGACCTTTCCCTTTCTTGTATTGTCTCTCACTCTCTCTCGGTTGCGAGGCCGTGTGTCTAGGCGGTTCTTCATGTCTCCAGTGCTACATATTTGAGACTAGCTCTGAACTCGCGACACTCCATGGTGTCATGAGTTGCCATTTGGTGCCAATCGCACCACTTCCGATCATCCTCTCTTCTTTGAGTCTGATGCGCGTCTTTTGACCTACCCTTTTCTCGGTGCCCCCTTCTTTATCAGCGGTGAACACTTCACGCCTACCGTCTCGATTTGTGTACCGGGCTTGTAATTTTTGTCTACTGGTGTGCGTCCTCTTTTCTCTGCCTTGTCTGCCCTTCTTTTATCTGCCTTTTCTCTTCCGGGGTTAACGAATTTTATGCTATCATCTGTTGTCAACGCTTCTTCTAATAAAATCGCTTTCCTTACAAGGCGGTCTAGGTTTGGCTAAGACCCCAAACTGTGCTCCTTCTTTATAAGCCCTCTTTTCAATTTGCGGCTATGCGTTGACATCCGCAAATTACCCACTACCACACTTGGGGAGATCCCTTGCACTTCGCATGCTATGGTGTTACATCTGTTGTAGAAGTCCATTAGCGTCTCCTCTCCTCCTTGTCTGCAGTTGATAAGCGCTGACACGGTGAGCTTCCTTCTCCTTTAAGACGCGAATATGGACGAGAAGAGCATGGCGAACTGCTCAAAGCTCTCGACTATTCCTTCAGCGAGGGACGTGTACCAAGTCCTTCACTAACCGTTGAACGTGATCGGGAACTCTTTGCATAAGTCCTCGTCCGAGGTGTTGATGAGCTGCACTTTGAGCATGAAAGCGCTCATGTGGTTTGTTGGGTCCGAGTTTCCACTGTAGGCTGGCAACCCTAGTGAAGAGAAGTTGGACGGAACCTGTGTTTTAAACAGGCTTTTCACAAGTGGGTTGTGCAGGACATTATGGCTTTTTTCCTTTCCATATGATGGCTTGAGGTGTTCCTCCAAGAAGCTCAAATTAAGCTCTTCCGCGTCCTCCTCTTCCTTAGACTCCCCGCCTCTGTCCAGTAGGGCTGGCAGGAGTTTCTTCTTTTGTCCCTTTGCCTTTGGCTCTTTGTTTCCTTGAGCTTTCAGGCTTTTATTTAGTCTTCTCGGGTGTATCTTTTGTCTTAAGCATGGAGAGGATTTGGCTGAGACTTTCTTGCATGCTATATATTTGTTGCCCCAGACTCTTTACGCGGTCTTCTATTTCCATCTCTTCTTCCACAGTTGGCATTTCTAAACCAATGAATGCTCTCTCTTCCTATCACACCTTTGACTGGAGTTCCAGAGTTCCCATCCATCTTTCTTCAGTGCCTCACTCTATGCCCCACGGTGGACGCCAAATTGTTTGAGCCTAGAATGTACTAGGTGGTTTGATGAGGCACGAGCGAAGCTTCTGTTCTTGATGGTGGGTAGTACTCCTGAACCCTGCAAAACAAGGGTCCGTGGGCGGTCGCCAGGACACTCTCTAATGGTTAAGTTAGAGAGAGAGAATCTGAGAATATGTGTTATGTTTAGAGAGAATGGAAGTAGTTGAGTTAACATCAATGCTAGCATGGAGGTATTTATACTCGGTTAGGTGGAGTTTAGAGCATTGAATGCTCTGTCAGGCGCCCTAATCATGTACTGCCCTGTTATAGGCTGCATACGACAGCTAATTAATGCTTAGTCCTGCTTGCTCGAGGTAAGTATCATAGAGGATCTCTTCCTCTTATCACCACGAGTGCTCTATGTCAGGCGGTCTATGTCTATCTTGTCTCTAGGGTGACCGCCTAACCTACTTCATTGCTTGAGACCGCGCTACTCCTGGGCCTTCCCCTTGGGCGGGGCATGTTCGCTTTCCTTGGGCTATAAAGTCCAATACCGCTCAACTATGAACCCAACAATATCCCACCCTCATCTCCCTTAGCATCTGCACCTCCTCCATTAACCTCGTCGGTGCCCTGCACGTAGGGATGACAATGGGTCGGGTCGGGGACGGATAGTGCATATCCGTTACCATACCCAAAGTAGTTCGGGTTTTACCCATACCCATACCCACATGTGAAACGGGTAGAAAATTAAAACCATGCCCATACCCGTTCGAGTTTCGAGTATCCACGGTTATCCATGGGTAATGATTTCTCTTCATAACTCCAACCAATATGTTAACATTCACGCGTATTCTCACATTACGTAAGTAGAAAAAGTATGACAATAATTCACTAGAATGAATAAAACTAATTAAAACAACACAATTTCATGAAAATATTATATTTATAGGGATCTCCTACAGTAACTTGAGTATAATTTCAAGTTAGGTAACTTGCATAGATCTAAACCGTTAAAATTGACCAAACTTATTTTAAACCATTGATTAAAAAAATAAAAAATAACTAAATAACTACAAAATTAAATGACAACATGGGTTTGTCTGTCACCACATTCCCAAGTTACCTTTTTTATTTTTTTCTTTCCTTTTTTCACATTTAGTTGTCTTTCCATATTTTAACCTTTCCTTTTTTAATTCTTATTGAATTAGAAGCGTTACGTAAGGCTTTCGTAATAACTTAGCACTTTACGTAACAAGACGTTAATACACATTACGTAAAGAGACCTTCTATTACGTAAGGCTCCCGTAATGATATTTTACAACTGTTACGTAAAATACACATTTACTACGCAAACGTTACGAAATGATAGTTATTTTTTACGTAACAGTTAAATCGGAAGCGTTACGTAAGGCTTCCGTAATGACTTAGCACTTTACGTAACGCAAGGTTAATACTCATTACGTAAAAAGACCTTCCATTACGTAAAGGTTACGGAACGACAGTTATTTCTTACATAACAGTTAAATCAGTAGCGTTACGTAAGGCTTCCGTAATGACTTTCCATTTTACGTAACGCGAGGTTAATACTCATTACGTAAAGACACATTCTATTACGTAAGGCTTCCGTGATGATCTTTTACAACTGTTACGTAAGATTATCATATGTTACGTAATCATTACGTAATGCCTATTGTATTTTACGTAATACAACCTGTGAAACCTGCTATAGCAGGTAAAAAAATTCAAGTTACCTTACTTCAAGTTACCTTAGGAAATCCCTATATTTATATGCTAAATATAAAATATGTTAGAGATAAATAATGATTATTTCTGGACAAAATACATATGTATGTGTATAATCGGGCGTGTTAAGGTTGGATAGTGAGAGACTCATGCCCACCCATTATCCGCAATATTCGGGTTCGGGTTTTACCTGTATCCACTAAATGTCTTACGCAATTAGCCGGATTCGGGCGGATATCCACGGTTACAGATATTTTTGTCATCCCTACCTGCACCGCAACATTAGCGCCCTCGCCTCTCCTCCCTCTTCTTTAGTGGTGGTCTGGCATACAAATTGGCGGCAACTATGGGGCCTGGTATGAGAAATTCTAATACATGTTCATAATTTTCTAGTATCCTACATGATCTCAAGGTTGTCTGGAAGGAAACAATTAGGAAGATTGTTTTGTAGACAAATTCAAATACGGTTGTCAATGCGATCAACTCACCCACACTACACACTTGTATCAAAGATTTGTCATCCCCTTGCATCAAATTAGCAAGTATGTTTAGGTTCAGAAGCCAATTTTTCAGTCGAATTACCTTATTTCGCTAGGGTATTCATAGCTATTGGAAAAAGTAAATGTTTTCTCCTCCTTGTAATTCCCTTGAATTTTGACTATAATTTGATCAATTGGTATTAAACCTCGAGATTCATTATTAAATATAGGATTCCTCTTTAGTTTTGTTGTCAATATAGGAAAAATCGCGTTTTGCACTCAAAAAAAATTTAAAAAAAAAATAAATTTCCATCCAAAAACTTCCATGCATAAAATCGGGCAAATTGGTACAAATAAACATCTTGCATGATACCAAGAGAGAGTGAAGGATCTCAAAGGAGCAGTGCAGACAGTACCATACAATACTTGGACAGTTTTTGAAAATTAACGAGAAGCAACCATTACCTCTTAATTCTTATTATTTTTTACAAGTACTGAAAGTGACCATTAGCCAGTAGCAGCAGTACATTCTTACAAAAATGAGAGCATTTTTTTAGGTGTGGTGAGAAAACTGAGAGAGAAGAAGTGGGAGAGACTAGAGTCAAAGACTCTGAAGCAGCTTGAGGGTTTCATCAATGTGCTTCTCTGGTTGGAACTGGTTGTTGTAGATGAGCTGCACCACTCCCTTCTTGTCAAGAACATACGTCTGTCTCCCCGGTAAAGCTCCAAAAAGATCTGAAGGAACTCCCCATTCTTTCCTTATTTTGTTACCCTCATCGCTCAGCAATGTAAAAGGCAGCCTATACTTCTTAGCAAATGACTACAGAAAAGAAAAGAATGGTAAGAAGAGGCAAGAGAGAACAAAGCAAAGATCAGCACTGACAGTCTGACACTGAGACCGTAGCTACATAATACCAAAGGTTCTCTCCCTTCATAGATTAATTTGGCATACAAAAATAAGTGCTCCAACATTTTGATTTTGGAGGTACTGATTTGGGAAAACTTCATACAAAGCTTTCTCCCATATCAAATGCATGAATTGTATGCCAAACTATCTGCGGAAGTGTAAAAAAGCCTGAGAGTTGATACCTTGTGTGAAGATGAATCATCGCCACTGATCCCGACAACCTCAGCTCCTGCTTTCTTAAACTTCTCATATGAGTCCCTAAAGGCACATGCCTGCAAAACAAAGTCTCTGCAAAATCAAGTACCGTAACAGAAAAAGGAAAGGATCATGGATTCATGGTCAGACTGAAATTTCAAGAACCAATTGCCTATTAACTCACGGTTGGGAGAAGGCGGAGGATGAACCTAATACCAAACAAAAACTGACTTATGAGCTTGAAGTACCTTTTGCTTCAATCAATTGTTCTTATAGGGGAATCGTGAAAATTCGGACATGGGTGATGGGACCTCTTGGTCAAATGCTATGATACCATGTCAAAACCTAATCAATTCCAACAATTATAGTGATTGCAGAGACTGAGTGAAACATCAATCTTGTGTCATTCTCTTCCCGTAAACCCCCTTCCAATACCATTGCTGTTCCTAGCTGTTTTTCTCTTTGTTTGTGGAGTTCACTGATAAAAGAGTTGGACTAATACCATCCCTCATTAACTAAACAAATAGGCCTCTTCAAGTAATAAACAGGGGGGAAGTAGCATTTCTACAAGTGACATTGTGTTCCACAATCAGTACCACTACTGCATATTGACCTTCCCTTTCTCCTATACATTTTATTAGGACAAACAGAAAGGACATAAAAGGGAAGAAGGAAAGGGAACCTGTTTAGTACAGCCAGGGGTTTCATCGGCAGGATAGAAGTAGACAACAACAGGCTTGCCCTTATACTTGGCAAGGCTCACAACCTTGCCATCCTGATCTTTCAATGTGAAGGTCGGTGGCACCTGCCCTTTGTTCACCTGACCTCAGAAATCAAAACCCACAAAAGAAATTTTCAGAAAAGCGCACAAATGCACCTACTAGACCATCATGTAAGTAAGTAGAAAGGAGCAGATCATAATGCATGCACCTTGGCAACAATCGAAGTCCGGAAAGAAGAACGATAAGGAGCAGGAGCAGTGGCAGTGGCGGGATTTGAGAACTTAAGCCCGCAAAATTGAGAGTGAAATGAAGTGGAGAGAATTGGGAGATTTTGTGAAGATGAAGTTCTGGGTATGTTGAGAGAGGGGAGGATAGAAGGAATGGAACAATGTGTCTTAGCCATAGATGCCATTCTTAGGGAGAAGCTGCAAGAATAAACAATGGCGCTAGCCAACCAGAGTCTGAGAAGAGCGATCGGAGAATGGAATCGGAGAGATAAGGAAAGGGTAAAGTTCTCGCGGCTGGCGTGGACAATTGCTGGCCCCAACGGCCAACCAACCATTTGATGGCAGCGATCTTAATCGCTAATTAGGAAAACGACAACGAGATAGCAGCCACAGAATTGACAGATTGAACTAGAACTTTTAGGAGTACCTTTTTCCTGCTCAGCTTCTTCTTGACATCGCCGGCAAAATTCGCCCCTTCAGTCCATCTCCTCACTGGCTGGCTTCAATACTGGAGAGTCCATATCTTTGTCAACTTGATCTGGAAACGACGGTTGCAATGGCGTTTTTCTGAATACAAATGGGTAAAAAACTAATGTAAAAAAATTTCAAATTAAAATAAGACAGTCGAACTTTTTATACTGTTAGATAATTATGAATAGTGGTGGAGATTGGTACGGTATTGGTATCGGTATCCCAATACCAAATATCGAAATCTCGAATTACACCTTGGAATCAATCTCAATCTCAATCCCTAAATAATTTCGATATCCCAATCCCTAATTATTTCGGTATCTCAATATGTACCTTGGTATCCAAATCGGTATTATCAAATACAAAATTAATTATGTTTGCCATTAATAATTAAATATATAAATTAGATTTTATTGTTTAATTTAGGGCAAAGAGACTAAGCAAAGAGTCTTAAGTTGCCTAGAGCTAACATCTCAAGTTTTTGTAATTGGTAAACTTTAATTTGATGAATTTGAGGTGGAGAGACGACTAATACTAGTGTGAAATAGTGATGTAATGATCTATGTATAATTAAATGACACTCTTGGTGGTTGAGGATCGCGTAGTAGAAAATGAGAGAGTCTAGTTGAGAGAATAAAATACACACTAGCTTATATTTCGGTATTGATCGGTATTTCGGTATATACCGATCCCAATCCCGTAATCCCTAATACCGAATAACAATTGAAACTCAATCTCAATCACGATCCCACAAAATAATACGTGTATTCAGTAATACCAAATATAGACAAATTCGGTACGGTATTCGGTGTATCCCAAATACCGGTACCAAACTTCCAGCCCTAATTATAATCCTTTGTCATCTTATTTATTAACTTAACTTATGGAATTTGTGAGGTGACCCGCATAGTCAGCAAAAAATAGTTTAATGTTTGTATGTATGAAATGTGATTAACTAGGGATGGTAATGGGCGGGTTTGTCTAAATCATCCCTATTCCCGCTTTCAAATATCGATACCCATACCGCCTTTTACCCATGCGGGGGAAAGTTTTGCAAACCCATCCTCATACTCATGGGTTTCGGGTACCCATGGGTAATATCCGCCACGTACATCCAGCATTATAATATCGAATATTTTACATGTAGATTTTCAATTATAACATTTTACGCACATACTATATCATGAAGTCGACAAAGAGACAATCATTTTTAATACGATTCAAAGCATCTTATCCTAAAGCATCCATTAATCCATATCAGAGTACGGTATAAAGTCATCCAAATCATTATTCTCTACTCTTATACATCTATTAAGTAATAATTACCTAACATAGTCTTCTTAACAGGGGAAAAAGTAAAAGAGTGAAGGGAAAATTGAGAGAAAGAAATTAGATTTTGATTTGAGTGGTCACTCAATTGCATTTCTACTATATATTTTTCTTGAGTTATATTCACTATTATTGATAGGTTACAAATTGATTCACATATTTTTCATATATGAAGAAATATTATTGGTGGGGCGGGTATGGGAAAGGGGAGACTAAAACCATACCCGCCCCATACCCATCAAACTTTTTGCGGGTTTCACCTATACCCGGTCAATGCGGGGATTCTCCGCGTTGACTGAGTCAGGGGCGGTCGGATACCCATGGGCATGGGTTTGATTGCCATCCATATATTAACTTATATGAAAAATGAAGGTTTTGGTTAACATTTGGATTTTATAAAATTATGGATTTGTGATGGAATTGCTCCATTTGGTTTTTGGTAAAAATCATCGTTTACTTGTTGGATTTCATGATGGATTTGACATAATTATATTTGTGGTTGTATTAGAAATTTACCTAATTGCCCTTATTAAGCATTATTTATTTTTACATTAACAATTTTTGTTATAAACAAATATACATCCCATAGTCTTATCCCACTACCACAATTGGAGCAAATGAACATCATAATTAACAACTTAAATTCATTAATCACCAACAACTCCACATTATACATGCTACGATTCGCTATGGTTTTTAATGTTGTAAAGTATGCTTTGGGTTTAATAATGTAGTGTACTTCCAACAACTTGTGCAATGAATGATAAAGAAGATTGAATGCATAATTAGTCGGCACAACAAGTTGGTCATTAGTAAATGAAAGAGGATAAGTTGGTCATTATTAAGGGGTCGTTTGCTTCATGGATTTAAAAATGAGGGTTTTGTAATTTAAAAATCTAAGGATTTATCAAGGATTTGAGGCATCATGGATTTGTAACAATCCTTTGTTTGTTGGGATGTTTTTATCATGGATTTAAAGGTGTGGGATTTACTACTTGAAGTCAAAAATTACATTACTGCCCTTTTCTATACGTTTGACATGTTTATGATATGTACACAAAACAAGGACAAAACTTCAAAATTACCCTTACTATCATTTTCTATATGTTGCCACATGGACAATAATAATAAACGAGAAAATTCCGTTTTAACTTTTAACGTAACATAATCAATTACCAATTCTTTGTCCTCCTTTTCAAAAGTGACATATAACAACATATATTAGAATCGGGAGAACAAATAATTACACGTTCCATGAAAAGGTCAAAGAAAACTAGAACACAAGAAATGATATAAAAAATCTAACTCATGTTTGCACATTAATTGAACGTTTATATTATTCATTTATTGTTAATTATAATGTATAATAGTTAAATTTGAGGGTAACCTTGGAATATTAAAAGTGCATGAGGGTAAATGGGTAAAATCTCATCAAGGATTTATGCCATATTCCAAATCCCACATCAACATGTGGGATTTATAAGTCCGTGGGGTCCACGGATTTGGACCCTTAAAATCCGTGGGCCCCACGGATTTGGTCTCCAAAAAAGGTGCAAGCAAACAACGGATTGTACCTAAATCCTTGATAGTTGGTTTTTTGGTACCAAATCCATGTACCAAATCCTTGAAGCAAACGACCCCTAAACTAAGGGGCTGAAATTGTAAAAGGTCATCATGGACTTTGTACTCCAACACAAATCCCACCTCTTGCAATGGATATTCCAAATCTGTGGGTCTCATGGATTCGGTCCCTCAAAGTCTGTGGACTCCACGGATTTATCCCTCCCAAATCTATCAAGCAAATAATGAATTGTGTACAAAATTCAAGGTGGTAGGGTTTTATGTACCAAATCTATCATGAAAGCCTTCAAGCAAACGAGGCATAAAATTTTTATTTTCATATTATTATTAATATTATTTTTGGAAAGAGGTGTAAATGGGAGGGAAGCAAATTTGGGTTGTAATGCATTTGCACCCATTTGGTTAATTTCGTAACTGTAAGGTGCAAAACATAGGTTCAAATATACTATTTTATCCCAAATTGAATTGCAAAGGAAAGAAGGAGAGGGGGAGGAGGAGGGGAATGAGAAAGATTATGATATATAATTTTTAATTGTTTTAGAGTTTACAATTATTATTATTATTATCATATTTATTATTATTAATGTAAACATTGTTTAGGTGTCACTGTTTGATTCCGGAATAAGTTTATCAACATTCGTATAGTCAGATGAAGATCACCATGTCAACAAATCAATACTCAAACAGGAGGCATGAGCTAACTATATGTCTTGGTCACGGATTGGCTTCGAGCTTCAAACTTTCTTGGTCGATATTTATTAAAATTGTTATAATTAATTAATATTTAAGCATTACTATATGAATAATTATGTTTATTAAAGTATATTTATTAATATTTATGATTATAGTATAAACTTTATTAGTTTATTATTTAGGGATAATTTTTATAAATATAATAAATCTATTTTATAGTAATATAATTTATTTACTTTTTTTCGTTGAATCAGTTGCTTTTGTATTACCAAAACTATATGCAATGTACATATAGGAACCGATACAACGAAAGGGAAGCTCGACGTGAGCAGTCCCACAGAACCTGTGCAACTGAAATGCAATCATATATGAAGTGGCTAACGGTGTTGGCCCATGGTCAGTCATCACTCCTTTACCCTGCTTATTAACAATGTCCTTGCTTCCGACTACCTCAACCTGTGCAACTGGAGAACCTCCCTTGAGTTGGTCCCCCTCATATTTGCAACACCTACTTTTTCATTCAAAACAGTAGTTTCTCCTTCTAGTTACACCCCCACCAATTTATACCTCACAATTTCCCCCTCAAAATGTGTAAGGAAGTGTTTAAGTACCATACATGTACCTCTCTCAACAACTCGAGTTATTGGGACCAATGTAGTCAAAATCGCGCTTTAAAGCGTAAAATCGTACGCTTTTACGTTTCTAGGGTAGGAAAACGTTTCAAATCAACAATAAAATCGTTTTTTATTCAAAATCGGTCAAAATCGTGGTAAAATCGTTGAAATCGATAAAATCGGATAAAAACACGTTTTTAGACCGTTTTTGTACGATTCCAAGCAAAGGAGCAAAACTGTCTCCTCTCACCAAAACGACGTCGTTTTTTTTGGGAAAAAAAAGGGTCGGGCTGCCAAAAGAGAGTAGGGATGCGCCGAACCTAACCCTAATTCATCTCCATCTATCTCCTCCAGCGCCGCAGGGCTCTCGGCTCTCCCACTCCACCCTTCTCGTCTATCATCATCGGCCGCCGCCTGTCTCCTTGGCCGCCGGCGCCGCCTGTCAACAATCGCCAGCCGCCCATCGCCCAGCCGCCGCCCTTCGCCCAGCCGCCGCCCTTCGCTAATCGCCGGCCCGCCGCTACCCCTCAGCGCCTCGTCGCCCGCCGTCTCCAGTAGGCGGAAGGAGCAGGCGAGCAGCCAAATCATTCCGTCACTTCCGCCGACCAAATTCCCCGGGTATGATCGTCTCTCCCTGCTCTATCTGCTCTCGCGTCGCAAGAACTTCCTTATACATCATCAAATAGGAAAATAAAAAAGCAATATGAGAAAGAACTGAGAAGTGGTTTCCACTGTCCATACAGCAATTAGCAGTGTACTTCTACTTGTTGACTTGACTGGTGGCACTTCTTCCATTAGTTTACAGTTTAGAACACCTGTGCCGACAAAACAAGATGATTAATTGCAATTGCT